TTTGATCTGCAGTTCTGAAGCAGAATCAGAACAGTTTTCTTAAAACAGTTTTCTTACGACAGTAAGTAACAAACTCAGCTGTCACCCTAAGAGAGATGACAGTAGCCAAACAGAAGACTTTCTGTTTGGCTACTGTCATCTCTCTTAGGGTGACAGCTGAGTTTGTTAATTGAACTCATTTTCATCTGAAGCCTACATGACTCAAGGCAAGTTCATATAGCACACAAGTGCTTCACAGAGGCATGGAAATACATTAAAAATAAGATATTAAGAAGATGTTATAATGGCATTTAAAAGACAATAAAAACAAGAGCACAAACAAGAAAATAACTAAAAGATTAAAAAGAGGTTGTGTATATAATTTATTGGAATACAATACAATACAATATCTTAAGCCCTGATTCAAATGAGCCGAGAGTTTTAGCAGAGTTCAGGTGTTCAGGAAGCTTGTTCCACAGGTGATGAGCAGAGAATGAGTAAACCTGTCCTCGATTACATTATTAACATACAAACATTTCAAGTAATGACAGTACACACTTTTATTGGTTTGAGTGCACATGTTTTAGTTGACATTCTGTCCTTAACATTCGACTCCAAGTTGCGCTGGAAAATTAGGCCTCTAATACAGGCAGGCAGGAAGTGGAAGTCAGGGTCAGGAGTGGAGTCTGCATTTCAGAGTCCATTTAAGTTAAATCATTTGGGACTTGAAGTTTTGTTTGTAAATAGTTTGATTTAAATCTTTGGTAGTGTTAAGGTTAATTTTCTACATAGAGTTAACTGTTTATTCCTGCCTGTGTGTGTGTAGGCCTGTGTCTAAACCCCCCTTGTGTCAGTTTTGATGAGTTCAGTATATGAGTTTGATGTTTAAGTTGAAGGCCCTGGTTTAGAAATCATTTTCTGTAATTTTCCTATTTTTGTATTTTGAAAACTTTATTATTTATTATATTTAAATTATTTGTAAATAAATTATTGTTTTGTTATTTTTTGCTTTACAAACCTGGTTTCTTGAGCCTTACTTCTCTGGTCCCTGACAGTGAGGTAGACTCCAACATACCCACAGTTATATGAAAGACTCCTCATTGAATGATGGAGCAGGCACTGAATAATGTTGGACTTTGATACTGCAGCCACAAAGAGGCTGAGGGTATGCTGGTATGCTTACAAAACTGCCTGAGTCTCTGTGGATGACAGGAAGTCCCCCTGCTTGTTCTTGACATTTACAGGCCACATGTCTGTTCGATGTGCTATGGATATTCATGCTCCACAGATGATGAAAGTTTATGTTGACCTTGGACCTTTTTCTTTCTATGGCTCCATCAGACCAGAATCTCTTTCTCTGCAAAGGAAATATTTTCATCACATTTACAGAATACATTCATGTTCCTGTGAGGATAAAAACCTGAGCCTTCCACTTAAAGAACTTTCCTTCAGTGTCACCCTCAGAACACATCACCCTTACAGCCACTGAGTGTACTTGGAATCAGGCCAACTGTACACATCTATTTTTGTACAGATTCATACAGAAATAATACTTGTTCATTAATGAGATTTAGAGATGTTGGTGCCAGGCTAGATGTTTTCCCCCTATGTCAGTCTTTTGCTATGCTAGCCAGCTGCTGGCTGAGAGACATTAGACATGAGAGTGGTAATAAGTGTATTCTCCAGCAAACACTATATACTAAAAGCCAGAAACTTCTTGTGGGAGGCCTGAAAGACGGATGTCTATTGAGATTACATCTGAATTGAGAAGAGAATCAAAGAACATCATTAATGGAGATAATATGCAAAAAGAGTTATAATACTGCACTAGTAAAAAAATAAATAAATAAACAAAACCAATGAGACTGACTTCCAGTAAAAAACATTAGCATCAGATGTTTGTATAAATGCATGTGTTTACATTTAACAAAGTGACCTCTAATGGCTTCATGAAGTATGATTGGTCTGTCAGGAGAAGGCAGAGGTTACATGACATTGATGTCGGCCGTTGGACTACCAGTAATCTATGTTGGTTTCTAATAAAAATAATGACCAGGGTTATTTCCTAACCTTAACCATCTAGTTGTTTTTCACCATGACGACAAAGGTTCCTGAACCCTAATGTAGTGGTTTTTAACCAAACATGAACCTCTGGAGCTGAAAGAGGAAGCCAACACTGAAGAATCAAAAACTGCAGTCACAGCCTGATACAAAAACAGTCTTGGTCTCTAGAGCTATTTACTCCTTCATGACAACTGTTTATATAACTCACCTGTTTACATTTAATTAAGGCTTAAAGTTATGGAGAATTGAGGGCATGGTCTCTTTTAGGTGGTTGAGCATATGCTTGCCACAAACCGGCATGTACCGAAGTTTCAGCTCCACACACACCCAACCTCATTGACCATATTTGGATTCAGACACTGCCAAGATGGTGATGGTGGAGCAGCCCATCTTTATTTACAGTCTATGTTTTTAACCACTAACTCCAGCCAAGAGGTAGAATAACCAAACTTAACCAAACCGAAACTTAATGAACCTCATACACAGATGAGGAACTGGTAAAAATAGTTTGTCAGTTAGATTGGTTTGTTGTATGGTAAATATTAATTTCTCTTGAACATTAAATAAGAAACACCTTTAATTTGACTTTTACTTTAATTTGAATGCATTCTGAAAAACAAATAGAAGAAACAAAGAAGCAGAACAGCAGTTTTGTCTGAAAATCACTCACTATACAGCATTACAAATTGGCAAACTAGTTAGTTTGCCATTTTGTAATGCATTACAAAAGCATTACAGTATAGTGAGAGTTATTGTGCCCTATATAGTGGACCCAGCATTACACAAGCATTACAGTATAGTAAGAGTTATTATGCCCTATATAGTGGACCCGGAGTATCCCACAATGCATGATGAAAAGTAATGTACAACGGATGGTCTCTAACCATAGACCATCGTGCACTGCACTCACACTGATGGTGACTTACAAAAATGGCAGACAGAGAATACAGCCAGAGCAGCTCATCACAACACAAAGGCAAGTGCTTTTCACTTTAAACACACAAAAAATTAAGGAAAAGTGTAGAACACATTCTAAAAATTATAAAGTACAATTAAAATAGTTATGAAAGAGTGTGAGAGAATGGAAAATAAAAATAAACTAAAATATGAGAATAAAAGTGCCAGTGCAAGAAATGAATCAAAGGCTCAAATTTAATTTAATTAAAAGCAGCAGCAACAGAAAAATATTCAGCGATTTAAAAGAACTGAAGGTAGCAGCAGACACAAATTTCTTTTATTTATTAATTAGAGAAAATACTCTCAGTATTATCACATAAATTTATGCCTGTATTTATTATGGATGATGAAAAGTAATGTACAACTGATGGTCTCTAACCAAGCAATATAGACCATCGTGCACTGCACTCACACTGACAGTGACTTACAAAAATGGCAGACAGAGAATACAGCCAGAGCAGCTCATCACAACACAAAGGCAAGGCAATTTAGTGGTGGATCCAACTGACGTTGATCTAGTTAGTTTTAATTGTGCATGAGAAGAGGTTTTTCCTCTAGACAGTGAGTAGTGAATGAGGGAGTGATTTCAGACACAACCCGAAGACCGAGACGGTACAACTTACAGATGTCCCCTAAACGCCTCACATACACATGGCTACACTCTAGCTACAGCACACATCATCAGGGGCCCCATTTAGGGGGGTTTGGGGCGGTAGCAGAACACTGTATAGTGTCTTTATGACAGGTTTAAGAGGGTTTATATTTGTCACTGCAAAATATGCCAACATGAGGGGCCAACATGAGGGGCCATCAAGGGCCCATTTTCCCCATGGGGGCCCCAAACAGTTGCCTTATTTGCCTCTCCTGATGGTGCACCTCCCGTCATACTTGACATTTTACACTTAATCGTAGGAACATGTCACCTGCTGGTGTATTAAAGTGTTTGGAAATGGACTAAATCTGACTGACTGCTGTTTTCATAAAGCCCTCACTTTATTTTTGGTGGCCTGAGGAAAGATATTAGTGTATTTATTCACCTCCTCATGCCCAGGGCTGCACAGAGCTTTATTTATAGACAGCGGTCCTGGAAAAACTCAGTTCTTTTCATGTAGATCACGTCTCCTGTCTGGCACAGGATCCACCCCACAGGTTTGTTTGGGTACCGTGCACCAGGGTAATGGGCTAGGAAAACGTCTATATCGATAATATCTCCCCCCGTGAGGCCATTCCTCCTTGCTGTCCGTAGCACTGCACTCGAACCGTGGACTCTCCAAATGCATTAGCCTCCAGGGAGAAAAGAGCTGCCTCTTGCAGATATCTAATTTCCAACAGAGTGGAATGCATTAAAAGCAGGTAAGAGTGGAGAGTGTACACAATGTAAAGCCTTCATTCTCACTCATCAGCCTGAAACTGTAAGATCATCATGACAACATTGAGACAAATGAGTCTGACTCTTTGTTTTGCCTTTGCAAATAGTCTATAATAATCAATAGTCTAAAATTTATTTTGTTCGATGACTTGTGTTTTTAGGGCCATAGCAGCTGAAATGACAGGTGGTATTGGTGCTGTGATTTGTGAGTTTATTTTATTTTTATTTTCCATCTCAGTGGACATTATGAAGTGGTTTGCATTGGTTAATACAAGAAGTAGCTGTCTGGTGAGCACCCCAGCATGTACTGTTTTGGAATATACAGTATGTTTATTCCTCCGCATCAGGGAGACTGAGGACCAGAGGTATTATGTTTCCAGGTTGTCCGTCCATACATCTTATTCTTGTGATGTGATATCTCACTAACGCCATGAGAGAACTTTTTCAAAATTGGCACAAACATTTACTTGAACTCAAGGATGATCCAGACTTTGTGTCATAAATCTGAACTCAATTGGAGAAAACGATGAAAAGTGTTTGGCCTTGAGATGTCATAAAAAAAGAGTGAGAGAAACATGTTGGTCGTTTTGTAAAAATATTTTATGTAACAATTTAAAAGTAATAACACACAGCAAAAGACATTCAAACCAACATGAGTGACTGGGGTGTGTCCTGTGAGCCCCGAGCGTCCATCCAGTCCTCTACCATGTAAACAGAGTTGAGAGAAGCTGCTGCAGGCTCTGCCTCCACCTCTCCACGCTGTATGAGACATTCCTCAGACTACTGAATAAATTATAAAACCTACAAAGATGGAGGAGTTGACTTATGGTAAACTTAACGTGAGGAGATTTTCAAGCTTTGGGGACACACCCCAGGTATGAAAAGACCTCTTTGGCACATAAACTGTAAACAGAACAGCAGTCATTACAAAATGCAGTTTTTTTTATACACAGCATCAACAGATAAAAAAAAAAAAAACAATCTTTAGAAAAAATGATTTGGCAAATGTGACCGTCCCCCAGCGATAACACTTGTCTCAGTCTGCAAGGCGTCCGTGCAAAACCGCGTCGTTGTGGCTACTGTTAGCACGCCGGAAGGAGCAGGGTGTAGGGCGTGGGGTCAAAATTGAAAGGAGAGGGAGAGGGGAGGTGGGGGTTGTTTGGGGGGATTCATTTTGAAGTCTAAACTGGTTTGAGTCCTGTTTGTTCATTCGTGTCTCTGGTTTTAAACTTTGTGTTTGTCCCCTGGTGTGTGTGACAGCTCTGTGGTTCACCAGCCAAAGTCTCTTTAGTGCAAATAGGCTGTCAGCCACTGCCTCCTCAGAGAGGGGAAGGTGGAGGAGAAGGTCATTTTCTTGGTGGAAGTGAGGCTGTGTTTGGTTTGGCACCTGGGACTGGTCTGAAAGCAGAGGGGGAAAAAGAAGAGCTTAAGGTTAAAGTGATACAGAAAACTGACAATGGCTGGTTTTTAGTCAAGAAGAAGAAAAAGTCTGTTTGTGTTAATGTCAGAAAATCAACAAGCAAAGACAAAGCTTCACTTAGATGCTAAACTAAGATGGTGAACATGGTAGAGCAGGGGTGGATGGAACATAATTAGTTCTGCAGGTATGTGTATGTGTATATCGACAGTTATTGGTCATTGCACATGTTCCTTCTGTCCATACTGATCCTGAAAACATCACCTCCTCAAAGGCTTCCAGTGGAAGAGATGGATCAAAAAATTTCTCCAGAAATCCATCAGCTGCAGATGATATGAAGCCTTTTTCTCTTGACTCAGACTGCTGAAGACTCATATTAACTTCAGTCATTTTTACACAGAGTGAGGTCACAGATGGTATGAACAGTAGGAACAACTACTAAGCTTTTCAATGTACAGTACAGAGGGGCATGTGAATGTGTTAAGATTGATCGGACACATGTGAATTGATGCTTTAATCTGATGGTGCAATGGAACTGACAAATTGATAAGACAGTAAAGGAGGAGGATGACCAAGAGAGGAAGGACATGTGACACAGATGCTAGACTGGAACAAAATTGTGAACATTTAAGCTTTAGGCTTCTGGGAAAATGCAACCTGTCATCACAAATAAAGGTGGACATACAAAATGAAAAAACAAATGAATAACAGAATGGAATCTGACTAATGAAAGTCTCAGCACCAGAGAGACTGGTTCTGATGCACTCTGTTTGGAACCAGACTTCTGCAGTCTCTGAACCTCCAGATGTTAGACCAGCAGCTATGCTCAGTGTGAGGTGTAATGTGGCATTTCTAAAGTGAACTGGACATTTGGATCCATCTGCAGATTACAAGAACAGGAATCATAGAACCTGGAGAACAACCACAGCCCGAGTCCTCCTCTGACTGCAGCAGAAGACATAAAATCTGATTGAGTGTTGAGTAAAAACTTTGTCTGTAAACTTCATGTGCTCATAGTCTGAAGAGCATGACATTTAAAGACAGGAGTATTATGAGGCTCTGTGTTTCACAGGTGGATTCAAACAACAGCTACTTGTGAACTGGATGATCAGTTCCTAACACACTGTTGTGTTGTGGTTCACTCCAGCCAAGTGTGTGTGTGTTTGTGATTGTGTGTCAAGAATTAAAAACACACCCATTCAAAACAAAAGAACAGAATAAATCAGGACTGAAGCCTGTGAGCTAGCTTGGCATGAGTGTACCGCTACACTCAAAACGCTACACTCTGCAGTAAATCCATCACACAACAGGGCCGTGGTTTGAAACAGGGTTCACCAAAGGATGATGGGAAACCAGCAGAGACAATGTGGCCAAGAACTATTTATTATTTTATCAGATTGTTCATGACTTCCCAGCTGTACAATAATAACGTCTCATGATTTAATTGATTAAAGAACCTCTGATGAAAATCAAGAGTTGAACCTTGATGTTTTTGTATAATACAAGATCAGTATAATAATCTGTCAACACCATGACTGAGTATTTCCACCTTGAATTGCAGTGAGCCAGTGACAGATTCAGGCAGCCAGGGTTTCATACATCCAAACCTAAGGTACCAATCTTGTCAACTTATGGGGACAGGGAGCGGGGCTAAATAAACCTGAAACTTGGTCAGTACAGAGAGAGTTAGCATTAGCACAACCACTAACACTGTGTCAGCTACAAGCAAACAAACAGCATAAACAAATAAAAGTTGCTAACTATGGTAACCGTTCCGATACATCTGCTAGTCTCTGATTCTGGTCTCAACAGACTCCTCATCTGAGTCTGGGTCTAACAGGTAGCTAAATCTCTCTGATGTTTCCTCCCTTAACCATCTTGATACTCTCTAACCCTTTCACTGGAAAATGTTAACTTGTCAGTACGGAAAGTTTTGCACTGGCACAGCAAGAAAATATGCTAACTATGTTAACCATTCTGAAAAGATGCTAACTACACTAACCGTTCTGAAAAGATGGTAACAATGCTTCTGATACTCTTTTACCTGTTAACCTGGAGTAAGCAGGTGGTGAGCGGGGCACAAGGCCAGATTTCTCAATCAGGAAGTAAGAGGAGGTGAGCTTCATACCCAGTTTTTACCATGTTAAACTAAACATTATGAAAGGATGTTGATTAGGAGTTTAAAACATGTCTGGAGGAACACCCTCTGAGTTCAGTGTCTGCAGATCCTCCAATAATACAGATATCATTACTCGATTGTCTCTGCTAAACTCAGCTGAGCCTGGTGTTTGCAGAGTGATTCTGACACCAGATATTACCTCTGTACATGATATACATAGAGTTCAGACAGAGAAGATTAGGTTGAGGACAAAATAACATAAAATATTTTTGGGTATTTTATGTCTTTATTTGACAGCTAACAGTAGAGAGATAACAGGAAGTGAGGACAAGGAGAAAGATATAAAATGACCTGCAAGCAAATGTCCCTGATCAGATGTGAACTGGGAATATCGTGGTTCATAGTCATCACTTTGAACCAATCCAACAGGGGCCCTCACTTTAAGTCTCGAGTTAAAACTGGGTGCTGAAACTGTTAAACTGTTTTTACCTGCAGTCTAAAGTGACGACAGATTTAATCAGATTTAGTTCAGAGTCCAGACTGAGGACTATAGTTAAGACTCAGGCACTACTCACAGTACCGATGTAATAATACAGTAATGACCACTGAGGACTTGTGGGTCAGAACGTCAACATGCTGACATTGTAACAAAGTCTCTAGTAGACTTAGTTTTGGGGAAAAAAAATCCCTTTAGAGTTTTTAATTTAGATGAAGTTGAGTCATCTTATCAAACTGCTGGTCCAGTTACTGAGGTGGGCCCACCGTATGGTCCAGGACCAGGCCTCAGGGAGCCTGAGAGATTCAGCCTTGTGAAATCATGATATGCTTTAGTGTGAAAATATCCACAGTACCAGAAACATTGTGTGTGAAGCATTTTGAATTATTTGCCCAGTGTCGTGGCGTTGTTGTGTCAGTGTTGGCAGTGTCCTGTCTGTGTTGTGTCAGTGTTGTGTGTTTGCCCACCTGAGAGCTCTGAGAGGGGGGATGGCTGAGACTTTGCCTACAGGTTTGGGTCCCACGGCTGGGGGCATCATGACCAGCAGACGTGGAGACGGTTTGGAAACCGCAGGTAAGGCTGGACTCGCTGTGAGGGAGGCTCCTCTGGCTGGGCTGAGGGGGAGGGGCCTCTGAGGAGGGAAGGGGGACAGTCTGGGCTGCAGCTCAGACACCAACTGAAACAGAACAAACAGACATTTAGATTTTTTAACATTCAGAGAAAAGAACTAACAGGTTAGGTGTCAATAACCTGCACTTCAGTATTTAAAATGTATAATCTCATTAGAAAGGAAAACTGTTTAAAAAGTAAAAAACACTGTTTTCCTGAAGGAAAAATCATCTTTGTTCTTTTTTGGATCAGTGCCAACATGGAACAACACTAAATCCCTGGCACATAGGCCGAGTAGGGAGTAGGACTCCAGTCCAGTCTGGACTGGATCCAGGACATTTCCTGAATCTGTTCAGCTAGCTGATAAGAGGATCTTCTGTCCCTCTTCACACAGGTAGTAGATAAAGAATTACCATTACAGCACAGCTCTGAGATCAGATCACAAAGTAAACTTGCATGAAATATTGGATATTTGACAAACAAGAAAAAGCAATGGGGTATTGAGAAGTTGATCTAATTTAAAGGCATTTTTACACTTCAGAGGGGCACTGATGAGAGCACAGGACTAATCAATAGAAAGCAATCAGATAAAAACATACTGTGGTTTTATTACTCCTTCAAGGATTGGGAGAAATCTCTCATTTATCTAAGAAGTTCTTGGACTCAAAGTCCAGCAGGTTTCTCACTAGCTCTGTGTGTTTGGGAATTACACAAATTATGAATTTAGCTGCAGTCAAGTCTACAACCACACCCCTCATAAAAAGGAAGTGTAATGTTGCCATTATATTTTGGTATATTTGTATTAAAAAGAAAAAAAAAGTACAAATCGGCAATTAGCAGTTTGTGTGTCCATGGATGTACAAACATCACTAGTTATTGAAGAAAGCCTTCTTGTTTCTGTGATTCATCAGCAGATTTATTGATGCTTATAAACAATGAACACATTACACATATTGATATGTAATTAACACAATATGTGCATCATGTCTGTGTTCAGATCTTACTGAATTATGAGTGTGTTAAAATAAAATAACTAACATACATTCTCTCCTTGTGCTGCTGTGTCAATTTGAATTTCCGCTACGGGGGATCAATATAGGTACATTTTATCTTATCTTAGTAACAACAGGTCGGTGAGCCAATCAGAAGAGAGGAGGCTCTGAGCCTTCTGATTGGCTGAGTGTTTTGAGTCATCCAATAAAAATATAGCAGATTTCAGGTAAACACTCCTGCAAACTGAAACTAAATCTTGCAAGGTTGGATGGTGGTTCCAGGTGGACGGGCTTGGGGCATGACAGAGCTGTGGTGGCACACAAATCAAAGTTCCAGAAGTTCTGATGGCTGGTTTTAAGGCTCAGTTTCTGAAACAGGTGTTGGTAGGACAAAACAGATGACTTATTTGCAGGAATGAGGATGAGCAGGTGAGCAGCAGTATTGTTCAGGTTTATACACAGGTAAGTAGTCTCTTGGGGTTTGGGGTGGGCCCAGGAGCCGGGGGTGGAGAACCATGGGTCAGGTGAGTGGAGCGAGGTGACTGAGCTCACACACACACACACACAGGGGAAAGTTTGTGGACCCGGAGGCCGGGGCTGGCGGTACCGTTCTGCGGAGCAGGTGAGTGGAGCGGGTTGGAGAAGCTCACACACACAGGTAAGAGTTTGTAGGAAAGCAACGGTACCGTTAGGGAGCAGGCTGGAGACGTTGAGGGAGCAGGAGGATCGGAACCAGGTGAGCAGTCAGCGGGGCAGACGAACCAGGAAGGAGCAAGCAGGCGGGTAATCAGAGCCAGACGAAGGATCAGGAAACCAGCAGGGAAGTACTCACAAGATGAACCATCGAAGACCGCTGGGTTGATGAAGCAGGAGTCTCTGGTGGTGAAGATCCCACAGGTAAGACGGTAGGGAAACTCACGTTGCAATGTGGAAGCTGGAGAACGCAAAACAGCCAGAGGGACAGGCAGACGGGAACCAGGAAGTGCACAGGCAGGACTCGTGGTCAGGGACAGAAGGCTGAGGCGTTTACAGGGGCAGAGACGAGGCAGGATGGTCAGAGACGAGCAGAGTCGATATCAGAAAGTCAGTCCGGAGATGAACGCTGGAAAGTCTTGCATGAGCACAGAGAACAATCTGGCAACGAGTGAATGAACCGGGGATGCATATATACTGGCTTGATGAGTGATGAGATGCAGCTGAGAGCCCAAGGTGGAGCTGAAGGCGCTGATGAGGTAGATGTGGCCGGCCGGTGGGTTGAGACGGAGGCGGATAAGTGGAAAAACACTGAAGCAGCAGGTGAAGGCAGAGCAGGCTGTGACAGTTTTTGAATACAGGCTGTATGTATTTCTCTGTGGACTGAGTGCTTTGACCCTTTCACAGTATTAATATAGAACCTAGCCCTGCTTTAAATCAAACAACACATGGGCATCTACCTTTTCATTTCTGTGGAACTGTCCAACAAAATCAGCAGCTGTGGAATACATTTAAGGTTGGGTCTGTTTAGTCCTCTTTATGTGCGGAATTGGGATTGGATTTATGTCTCTAGGGGAGGTGAAGGTAATTTTAACATTATCTGCACTGGTCAGTGATTTTATTTTGTTGTATGTTATCATAATGTTTCACCTCCATCCCTGTCATAGGGTTACGATTCACAATTGTCTTTAAGTGAACTGGTTTGACCTCCTGTAATTTACACTTACATCCTGATATTTAAGTGGAAGTGGGAAATGTTTTTTGCTGTTCTGATACATGGAAACATGTAAACACCAACATAAACCCCTATTTGATGACAAAAAATAAGTATTATTAAACACCCTGTTGTCCTGTCACCTTCAGGTACAGCTGAATGTCCACATATGTTACACAATAACTCTATAACATTATCAGGTCTTGACCTGACTCTGTAAAGTGCCTTACAGAGCTGGAGTCAGGATGTCGTCAGCTTAGCTGATCGTAAAGACTGGAAGCAGGGGGAACAGCTAGCCTGGTTCTGTCCAGAGTTCAGAAACAACCACTAACCTAAACAACAGTCTCTCAGTACTTGTGTGCTGTGTCTCTGACTGGATACAGGTTCATTGGTTTGTTCTCAAACTACGAATTTTTACATTTTGGTCTTTAATCAATGGTCTTTCATTCAACTCAGCATTTTAACCATCAGGAAATAACAGCATTTTAACTATACTATGACAATAACAATACCCTGAGTTGAATCACTGAAGAGCACAGAGAATATTTCATGTCCCATCTCCCCCATTCATACAGGATCTACTTCATGTTACCTTGTATATTAAATATTCTCTGACTTGTCCAGAGGATGTTTCAAGACCAGGATAATGTAGCTCTACATATTAGACAATGTGATTAAATAGAGATTTAATTAAGAGAGGTCTGGCTGCCTAACAGCTTGTGGAAGAAGACTGAGGTTTAATTATCTTTAAGAGATGTAATTACATTTTAATATCAGAAGACACCTTTCTATCTCTAAATGTGAAGTTCTGGTTTCTAAGGATCTGTGGCACCCCTGCCCAGATGTTGCTCTACAGGTTAGTGACTTTTACATTATGTGAATTTTAAGCTACACTAACCCTGCTACACAAAATTCAGTTGTTTGACTACACAAAAAGGGTCAAAAATGGTCTCACCAGTGGGGATCGAGTCGGGTTGAGGGGCAGAGGTTTCTTGGGTGGGCTGAGTCTCTGTGGGGTCGGGGGTGATTTGGGTGGGGCCGCTGGGGGTTTGCCAGCAGGCAGGGGCGGGCGAACCGCCTTGAGGTCCCGGGGACCACCCTGAGGAGACTGGGCGGGTCTCAGAGGTCGCACAATGTTGACTGGCTGGGTGCCATTAGGCGCCAGGCCTGGTCTGAGAGGCAGTACCTCTTTGCTAGTGTGAGGAAGCTGGAAACAAAGACGACAAGAAGAAAACCTCAAAGTGACTTCTGACCACATATTTATTTCTTCCTGGTACAATTTCTGAATATCTGATAATGAATCATGTCACTCATGAGGACTTCACATCCTAATATTTATTGCAACAAATTACACAAAACACAATTATTGTCTGTCATTTTCCAAACATATGGAAGTGGTCTACATTTAATGTGATAAAGAAAAAAAAATCAAGGCACTTAAAGGTTCTGTAAACGAGATTTTAAACATTAATACTATTTTCTATGTAAAGATATGGTGGAGTAAGGATGTCCTGGGCAGAGAATGAAGCCACACTCCCTCTGTGTGTGTGTTGTATGTATGTGAGTCCTTCCTGTTAAACCGTTGGCCCTCCCCACGCTTATAAACACACAGGCTCCACCCACAGGTGAGACGATACAGTGCAGTATGCAGTGGTCAGTGGTCAGGCTGACCACTGCATACTGTGACCCTTTAGAATTTCCTCCACTGAAGAAGAACCACATTTTCATCTTAAAAAGGCTTCAGACAAAGAAAGAGATGATACTAGAGCACAGGAGGACTGGACTGAGAACTACCAGCTGAGATCCTGGTCAGCTGGTGGACTGTCAAAACATCCATTTAGTCTTTACCAGCTCCATCAGTGTCATTCGTGTGGGCGGTCCCAGAGGATCAGTTCAAGGCTGAATTTCTGTCCCGGTCTGACCATGGAGCCAATACTGGTTTTACTGAGAGGAGAACCCTACAAGTTGCTAATGGGTCCAGCTTGATTCAGAACTGGTTTTTCTTCTCCTTAATGTGTCAGTAACTTGATGCTACATAATGTGACATGTCTGTTTTCATTAGTGATGGCTACAGTAGACATAATGTTAGCTAACCTACTGTAACCAATATTATAAATGTGTTCAGCAAATGTTGCCATCACTAGCTGGCTGTCAGCATTGCTGTGGAGCAGCTAATGGTTGTGGTTAGATTGTTTTTGTTGGCTCTCATGTACACAGTAACGTTATTCAGTTGAGCTTCTTGTGTGCTTAGTGGAAAATTTCACTGAGCTTCAACACACTGACTGAGAACGTGAAGGGACGGGAGGGGGGTGTGTGGCTAACGAAGCATTTGTTTTGGTCTGAGATGCAGATGGTCTAGTACATCTAGTGGCAGTGACAATTGTTTACAGAACCTTTAATATTGACTAAATATAAGGGCTTTTTTTTTTCTTTTTTTTTTTTTTTTTTACAAACAGCTAGTTAAGCATCTATCAGTCATCAATCCCAACTGTTACTCTTAATATAAATAACAATGAGCTGCATTGTGTGTATGACAGATGCTATGATAATCATTTACTTTCTTCTTCTTGTCTCATTAAATGTGCTCTAACTCTGAGCCTCTAACACAAACAATTAAATAAAAGCTATAAAGGAGGTAAAAATAACGACGTGAAGATTGCTGAAGGCACAGGGAGTGTCATGGATGTGAGAGGAGGCCAACTCTAAGTGGTCACACAATATAACAAGCTGCAGTAAAATTAGGTCATTTAATATGAAAGTCAACCTCATGGATGATCCATTATTCTCTAAAACAAAGCAGGAGAAACAGTCACCACCCTGCTCATTTCCTCCCTTCCTTCCTTCCTTTCTGTACCACACACACTTCCCACTCACCCCCTTGTGGCTGCTGGCTTTGTTGATGGGTCCGACCACCTTCAGGTGAAAGGCAGGATTCAGATGGCCGTTCTTCCCTTTCTCCACCGATGCCTCTGTCCTGAGCAGAGAGACGAGGACAGACAGAAAATAAAGCACCTGAAAGCTGTCCTGCTTCATCACTCCTCTCCATCTGACATTGATTTTTTTGGCCCAAGTTGGAAAAAGAGAGGGAAGAGAAGTCAACATGAAGTTTCTCATCCAGCCCGATGTGAGAGGAAATGAGGAGGTGAAGGAGGAACCAGAGGATAAGGCTTTCGAACGAGTCAGTTTTTTCAGTGTGAGCTGCTGGGTTTCTTTATATAATACTGTCAGGTCTTGACCTCACTCTGAAGAGCCCCATACAAATAAAATTGAATTGGACTAGTCCCTCAACACTGTGGTATACATATCATTTCCTTGTAACTGAGAAAAGATGTAAGTGAAACTGACATTTATTCTTTTCCTGGTGATGCTTCCTCAGTCTCATGTCTGTGGGTTGAGTATGCAACTGACATCACAACATGATTAGCCTAGCTTAGCATTAAAGCTCCATATTTCATACTTTCATACTACACTGTGTTTTAAGTGTTGATCCATAAGAAGATTTTTGTATATATGTATAGATATTTGTGGTTTTAAGAACCAAAAATCTTTTTTGCTGCTAGTGTTCTCAGGACGAGCCTTCCTGTCATCACCTGCTACCATCCTCTCCACTGTCGCCAGACTGTGTGTGTTTAAACAACTTTCAGAGGTTTGGATATGTGTCCATCTTATGTTTTACAGGGATCTATAACACTTGTTGGAATTAAGCTTTTATTGCACTTAACTTAACGAGATGTCAGCCAGCCTCTGCTTTCCTCAGTGTGTTGGTGTGTGTGTGTGTGTACGTGTGTGTGTGTGTGTGTGTGTGTGTGTGTGTGTGTGTGTGTGTGTGTGTGTGTACAGCAGAGACTTGAGCTGAAACTCGTGCACATAAATGAATAAATCAAATATTTAGTTTTGATTTTTTTTTTTTATTTGGTTTCTTGGACCTGTTGGGGGGGACAAGTCACCCAATCTTTTCTAAATCAGTGTTTCTCAAACTTTTCAGACCAAGGACCACTTAACCATGAAAATAAAACTCATGGACCACGTAACTCATCAAACATCTCCAAAAGCAACAGTGCTACTATTGTAGCAAGCTTTGCGCAGAAGAATGCCACCTGGGACAGGTTTTTTTATAGGACAGTGAAAAGAGACAGGAAACACGACGATAGAGAATTGGTGAATGGCATGCTGTACAATGCCCGACTAACCAGGGCTGAACGACGTATTCACTTCTAAATTGGTGCCTATGGTGAGCGTCCTAACCACTAGGCTATTGTGCCACCTAGGCTCAGAATAGTGTTTTAATTATGAACGACCCCTGTGCCTCACACACTGCATGGCAACATGTGGTGCAATTTACTTAGCATCAATATTATCACACTCAGAAGAATGGTGGTCAGATGTCATCAAATGCATCATAAGTCTCAGTCGTGGTGGCGGCATCACTAGTAAAACTTAACACTTAACACTTGCCTCTTGTGTCTGTTATGTCGGAGGTTTCATCTGATTTTCTGTTAACTAATTAAAAGTTTTCTCTGAAGTCCTATTCACAAAGCTGCTGAGACCAACTTCTGGTAAGGAAAAGCGAGAGTGTGACTCCGTTACTATGGCTGACATCAATTCTCATGGACGAGCTCGATGTGCTGGTGAAAATGCATGCGCAACATCCCGCAGTAATAATAAAAAAAAAAAATTTAAAAATGAATAATACGGATTAGGTGCTATTTACAGATGTAGTGCAATCTCCAAAACGCATCTGTATGATAAGGTTTGTGTCGACCTGAGAAAATTTAATTTTACAATGAAAACGTACATTTAATTCTCTCAATGGAAAAAATAAATAAATTAAAAAAAAAAAAACTAGCCTCTTCCTAGACTACCTAACCTAATCTAACAGGCAGCCTATTAGCCACAGTCTGTTGTAGCTGTACCTGTTGTAATGTAGCTGTGATCACAGCTGTGGGTTGAGGTGTGAGAAGATTTCCACTGTCCCCCACCAAGTGACATCCAGCCGGAATATGATCCTTTCAAACAGCTGCCTCAGGTCACTCTCCATTAAGATCCATGAATCGCGTGTAGATCCTGAACACTGTACAACAATGTCTAAAACTGTACAGGCAGCATCCAATACAACCTGTGTGTGGATGGTGTGATTTTGTTTTCCTGTTTACAAATACCTCCCTGTCTTGTGATGGTGCAATAATTTTTACATGTGTTCCATCTATGGCACTGACTACACTGAGTAGAACGACCATGAAGCTGCTTTATTCCTATGTAGTTGTTGAACATCTAAAAGAAATCGTATGAATTGTCCCATGATGTCGGGTAAGAGAGAATTTATTGTTTGGTGAATATATCGGCTTTTCTCTGTTGCCAAGTAACGCAGCGTTGCCATACACTTAATTTCCGCACTGATTGGGTTGTTTCAGTTCCTGGGAGATGTTATTGCACCTTCACATACTCAACAACGATCATTATTCCCTAGTTATTGAGTTGTACATTTTAAGTAATTCAGCATCGTTTAAGGTTTCCAAAACACTGTGAGGTGGAATGACAGCAGCCCTTTTACGATTCTTTGTGATTTCGTCTTAGTGAGTTAAGAGTCCTCTCCACTACTTCTAACTTCTCCCAGACTCAGGTGCTACATTAAGCGCTAAGTGGCTTTGTGAATTACTCTTAGGAAAAAAAATTAGGAGTCCTAAAATCCTAAATCAGCAAGTTAGGAGCTATTTTTAGCCTTAAGATGCTTTGTGAATACAGGCCCTGGTCTTAATCCTCTGCTCCATGACCTTGTCCATTGTCAGTGTTTGATAGTTCATCTGCTGATAACTGGCAAAATTTTGCACAATCCCAGCAGGCAGGCTAACTGTTAGCTTCATCCATATTTCCTTTCAAATGTCATGCTGCACTTTTGACGTAAATCATAAAACATAAATTGGAAACTGTCACAAACCAGTCGGTTACAGTGAAGTCCAACTACACTGTAAAACAACTTATTTAAATAATGAAAACAAAACATATATACTACTCTCTAACAGGCTTTGTGGTCACTCAGTTTGACAGCTTGAGAAACACTAAATTTAAAGCATGAGATTTTAACAAATTTCCTCGCGGACCACCAGGGGTCACTTACAGACCACACTTTGAGAAAGGCTGATCAATATTTTGATCTGTAAAACTTGATTAAACATTGTTTATGACAAAAAAGAAGCAAATCTTCACATATGAGAACTGGGAATCAGTGAAAATGAGTTGAACTATTAACTGGTTATCAAAGAGCAGCTTCACCTCCTTTCGATTGATAACTCAATTAATCATCTAATTGTTTGTGTATTGTATTACTGTCCGATTTGTTTTGTTCTGTATTACTTCAGGCTTCAGTCAGGTTCAGGTTTTGTCATTTACTTCTCTGTCTGACTTTCAGTTTTCTGCTCAGTAACAAGTGCTGGTGAGACAACAGTGTATCATGGACAAAATAAAAGAAATATTGCTTGGGGGAGACAGACAGATAGACAGTACTTGTTGGTCTTGTTCTTCTCTCTTTGTGAAAGCCACTTGTGGTAATAGGACGTCTTTATCCTGTAGCAGTAGAAAAGCAGCAGCACTGCAGGCAGGACCACCAGGAAGGCAAACAGCAGCCCCACCACCAGCCCCACCTGACCTGTGGACACACATACACACACACGGTTACATGTACACTGTTATCCCTGCACTGAGTCATATTTTGCTAGATATGTGGTATGTTTACATGGGTAACAATGTTATTCATGTATGTGTGTACATGCTTATGTTGTGTCAGGTTTCTAATCACTGTCAGTGCAGATGTGTCTGACCTGTTAATGTCTCACTGATGGTCACTTCTACAGATATTCTACAGACCGTCAACAGACCTTCCATGGATGTTCTACAGACCTTCTATAGATGTTCTACAGACCTTCTACAGATATTCTACAGACCTATCGATGTTCTACAGATATTCTACACACTGTCTACAGATGTTCTACAGACCTTCTACATATGTCCTACAGACCTACATTTATTTTACAGATCTTCTACAGATGTTCTACAGACCTTCTATAGATGGTCTACAGACGTTCTACAGATGTCCTACAGACCTACACATAGTTTACAGACCTTCTGCAGATGTTCTACAAATGTTCTACAGATGTCCTACAGACCTACATATATTTTACAGACCTTCTACAGATGTTCTACAAATGTTCTACAGATGTCCTACAGACCTACATATATTTAACAGACCTTCTACAGATGTTCGGCAGACTAATACCAGGTATATTAACTCAACAGATGAAGATAACAGTACAATACCCACCTATTTTATTTTTCACTTTCATACATTTTGCGGACTCAGTCACTCAGAGGCTTACCAACCTCCACACCTCCAGTTTGTAAGTTAAATTTTCTGTTATAAATGTGTGTGTGTGTGTACACTCACTGTCATACTGGATAGGTCCACTGTCCACACTGCCGCCAAGTCCTGGCTTTTCACAGAAGGGTGGAGCCCAGCCTCGATTACAGTGGCAGTTCCCGTTACTGTTACACACCTGCGCACACACACAAACAAGACAGTTGTATATGTGGTTTTCTGTTGGGTCTCAGTATGGTCTTGTGTGGATGTACCTGCAGGTGGACCAGTGAAATCAGAAGCACTGATGTGTTGTTTGCTACACACTGACACTGCCTGTGCCTCCCCTATCTTTACATGTTCACCTTATAAACACAGACTACAAGCACTGATATCTTATATTTGAAATGCCGTTTCCATTATCTGTGTATAATGGAACTTTGATTGTAACCATAATTTCTGAGTAAACTGCCTCCAGGCCCTGAACCATCAGAGGCCCCAGGTCTCTAAAGTCTTATGCACCACTAAAGAAGAACATAAACTGAAATGCTATTAGTGAAAGTAAGATGACTCCTATATATCTGTGTTATACTTAGTCTTGCACCTTTCTTAATTCAGTTAATATTATGTGTTCACATGTTATACCATAGTACATTTGTTTGTAATCAAATTGAAAAAACAAATTAAAAGAAACCAAATGCAGTGTCTGTGTTTTTACAATTGACTGTATTATTAAATACTGAGTCCTGCCCTGGGACCTAACAGGTTAATCAGGTACTGGTCTGCATGACGGATAAATTGACATGAACAACAACACACAGCATCATTAAAGAAAAGTTCAGCTAAAATGATCCAACAGCATCAGACATTTACATTTACATCCATTCATCAGACAAGAGACTTACCAGTGAGGGACATCACCAAAGCTGCACCTTGGTGTAAGGACTAAGTACATCTATTTAATAAGTGAGTGAGATAAAGTAAAGAAGTGCAGGTGAAGTTCATAGTAAGAGCTAGTTAGACATGTTAGGGTGTTAGAGGTGTTAGGAGAGGAGGTGCTCTCTGAAGAGAAGAGTCTTCAACAGATTCTTGAAGATAGAGAGGGACGCCCCTTCTCTGATAGAAACACAGACCAGAACAATCAGACAGAGACTCTCTTGTGTGAATGGATGGTGATGACAGTCCACATTCCTTGGAGGACAAGGCTGAAGTCACTCTGAAGGCAGCATTAATGACTGAATCTGATTCAGGAGGTCATGGGTATACAGGGGAGGTCGATGAGCAGCAGAGTGACATGTGACCTTTTAGGCTGATTGAAGACCAGACATGCTGCTGCATTCTGGACCATCTGTGAGGGTTTCAGGGTGAGATGCTGAGGGGACATCTATAAATTGTAGCATCTACTGATTATTAGCATGTGAGGCATTGAATTGACATCTGTAGATTGTAGCATCTACCAATTATCTGCATGTGAGGCATTGAGGGGACCTCTGTAAATTGTAGCATTTTAACAATTATTTGCATGTGAGGCTTTAAGGTGACATCTGTAGATTGCAGCATCAGCCAATAGTCTGCATGTAGGGGTGGGGGAGGAGGGGTTGGGGTTTCTAGACTTCGATGGACTTCTTTGCCTGGGACCCCCAAAGACTCTAGGATTGCCACTGGCAACTATGTTGCCATGTTTTATTCTGAACCTTTATAACAATGCGCTCTGAATTCATTACCACCCTGATTCACTGACTGGCTGCTTCTCCATGGCATGCTGTTGTATTTAGACCCAGTCGCGATGTACAGAACATGACTTTTCAAAAAAAAAAAGGAAAACCTTCACAATTGTGAGGGCTTTTCCTTTTTTTTTTTTTGAGTGAGACATAAGGTTCATTTTTATACAGTGACTCAGAATAAAAACGACTGTAAGCCATTTCACCCAAACATACTTCTGAATAACAACCTCTGAGACTCAGTTTGAGAGTCAGAATGTGACCTGAACTGGAAAAACCTTCTTTTTCTCCACTACATTTGTCAGTTAAATACCTCCAAAAGTTTATAATTGACTTGTCTTAAAGTTATGAAAAAATAACTTTCATCTAGAGATTAGCATTTAAAACTTAATATCTGCAGACATCTTGTGTAGTTCACCACCTCTAAATGGAGGAGAAAATACTGCCATGCTCCAATTATATTGAAATGTAATTATCCTATTGGTGATTAACATGCCTGTTTACCCCATTAGCACTCGGTCGACATGAAGGGCGCTCAGATGTTTGCCAATTCTTATTGCTCATTTATGGAAGATTCAGGAGGCCTAGTGTTGTTTCTTTGTGAAAAGCATGTTTAAAAGATATTTCTACATCATATAAAGATGAGAAGGGAAAAGCTGTGTGAATTGAAAATGCCATGACCTGGATTTAAACACACCATCATTGATATATAACATATTCTTCACCCTGCTAAGTCTCCAGGGCCTGTAATGTGTTTTAAGCTTTTTTCTGTTCTATATAAGTTTTTTAAAAGCTGAAGACAGAGAAGTGAGTGATACTTCTTCTGCTTATTATTCCTTTATTTGCATGAACATCCATGTTCTCCAAAAGCCTGAGGATCACTGGATGAATGAATCAAATGATGAAGCTAAATAAAAAAAAAAAGCATCCTAACACAGGAAGAGCTGGAAGGAAGGGAAAACTGTCTATTTAGAATAATCCTGACTCAAAGCCATTTCCATTATCCATCTACTGTTACACTGAGAGGAGGGAACACAAAAGGGACAAACAGCATAAAACAACAAAGCGAGGAGAGAAGTAGAGGGGGATTAAAGGAGGCGAGGATGTGTCTGGTGTTTTTCTTCTCGCTCATATTTCAAATCCTAATCAAATAGCAAAGCCTGACGAGCAGTACGCCTATTCCTTCTGCAGTAGATGGGGTAAACAGACTCATTCTTTTTTTTGGGGGGGCAGTTTTTGCCTTCATTCAAATAGGGACAGTGAGAGAGACACAGGAAAGTTGGGAAAAGAGAGAGGGGATGACATGCAGCAAAGGGACATGGGTCGGACTCAAACCCATGGCCTCTGCGGTAAGGACAGAGCCTAAGTGGTACGTGCTCTACAATTTAAGCCACGGGAGCGCCCCCAGCTTCAGTCTTCTAAGGTGTGAAATTTCAGTTGAGGTGAGGTTTGCTTCAAATGGTCAGGGTCAAAAGAAGCTGCAGGGCAGTTCATAACGCAAACTACGCCACGCCAATGAGGGGTTAGACTTGTATCGTTCTGTACGTATGAAACTGGCGTTGGGCTTACGTCCTTGTCGCACTAAAAAGTCGAACAGCAAACTTCATTCACATGCTAACATTTGACTTTGGAAGTAGTGCTACGCTGCTACTCTAGGTATTAAGCCAGTCAGCATTCATGCTAACATTAGCAGCTTATGTTAGAACAGACAAAGGTCTTTGTTTTTAATTCATTCCCTCTGTTTGATGTTGTATAATTGATCATGTTTTGATAAGAAGCCTCACATTGATATGCTCCTGATCACCCTGTTAAAGTTACTGCAGTACACTGTTGGTCTGGACAGGACGTGTTGTATTAACAAAGTGATGAAAACAGATTACATTGTTGAATTTATTAAAGTAAAACAGTAGACATGTACTGCTTAACTGGCATGTACATCATGTGACAGGAGTTTATTCATTTGTGTTGACCACACCCCCAGCCAGTTGTACTGCTGCGGCTGCTGCTGGTATATGTTTGCTTTTTAAATGATCCGCTCTGTGCTCTCAATTGAGCCAAAAATCAGCACACAAAAGGAAGAAATATATATTTTATAATCTTTGGTTTGATGACAGCTCCTGTTTCTGCGCGTTGTGTTTCAATCAGACTTTCTCTGTGATGCTGAGTAACACCATGACAGCTGCCTCACACAAAAGGAGACACAAACTCTGAAAAACCCTGGCTAATGTCTCTTTCTCCTGCTACAGACATGGACACATGTCTTGTCCTGCACTGTGTCTGCACTGCTAACATCAGTTTGCAGGCTACATGGCTAATTAGACAATCAGCTATAGCTTCAAAACTTACCTACAGTTAGTTTAGATGCTAAATGGTTTCATCTGTACTCTTCAACACCACTACTAACAACATACTGTCTTGTGCTGGGTTGTTAACTCAGCTGTCAACCAAATACATACAGTACACCAGCCTCCCCACTTATTTCTGACTGCAAAAAGAGACAACTTTTCTTATGTCTGCTGGACTTAAAGTTATATTTTCCTCTTATGACAGTTCAATTTCATTTTACCCAGCTGCCAAACTAATAAACTGATAACTTAAGGTTTGCAGTTTGCAGTAAAGCTGTGATACAACAAGACTCAACATGACTCGCATGTGAAAGAAAAACCCTGCCGCTCTGAGGAGAAAACTGTCAACTGTTCAATTCCAAAAAAGAAAGAATGCAGGTTTCCTTTTCCTGTGGCTTTACAAATATTACACTGCAGACAAAATATCAGCTGTCAGCAACTATGGTCTGAAACCCCTCACCTATTAAAAAGCCATAGTGGTGGAACGGTGATGACAGCTGCCATACTGCATTACAATGCTGTATTCTGGTGCAAATCAGGATATAAATCAATTCTCTGGTCTGCCTTTTCAATGTGGCCTAAACTGTTGTTTCAGGTGTAACTCTATATTTTATGTCTGCAGTATCAGATTCAATATATAACTTAATATCTCTTCAACCAACACACAACTCATGACAGCTTTTTATTTTCTGTCACCACAATGAACAAAATACACCCAAGCTTTTGGATACATTGTTTTCAGGCTTGTGCACAAAAATTTAGGTTTCTGGTAACAGGTTCAGATTGAGCATTGTTAAATACATATAAACTCTACTGTCTGAGCTGTTAGGATTTAAAAAAGGTCCCACAGTTTTAAAGGTCCATATAGTATAAAGGTAGATGTCCATGTGTTGTTTGATTATAAAGCAGGTCTAGGTTCTATATTAATACTGTGAAAGTATCAAAGTGCTCAGTCCACAGAGAAATGCACACAGCTTGTATTCAGAAACTGAGCCTTAAAACCGGCTGTCAGGACCTCTGGAACTTTGTGATGTCATAACAAAGCAGTCATCAAGCCCCACCCATCTGGACCCACCATCCAACCCTGCAGGATTTGGTTTCTTTGAGTGTTTACCTGAAATGAAGGATGCTATATTTTTATTGGATCACTCAGAAAACAGTCAGTGTATCCACTCATACAATAAGAAGATAAATTTGTGTTTTTAAGAACCAAAAACCAAAAAGCCAATCAGAAGTGAGGAGGCTATAAGCCTCTATTCTGTTTGGCTCAACAACCTGTTGTTACTACAGGTCCAGAGAGAAGCCTGAGAGAGGAGATGTAAAACTAAACTGAGATGGTTTTTGGTTCTTAAAACCACAAATATATCTTCTTACGGATCAACACTTCAAATAAAACACAGGAGAAGAGGAAAATATGGAGCTCTAAATTCCCATCCACTAACTCAAAGATCTGCTTTTCTGTTCCCTGTAAGTCCCAGACTCATTCCTGAGCTTCAAGAGCACAGTTAACTGTGTGGTTGGGAAGCCAGTGAGGGATCATATATAGTTTAGACATATAATTTCCCAGCAGTGACCGTATCAATATCTGAATTTCATTTGGTGTCAGTGGTATGTGCACTTGATATTTTAGGCATCCACTCATACAATCATCCTTTCATGTTCTTCACCTGCTCATCCTGCAAGTTCTTGCTTCTAACTGTTTTAAGATCTGATAACATCTCATATTCTGGTGGTAAATCATTGACATTATTATATTTAGGTTTCAGGTTGTTTTTGATGAATTTCCTTCAAAAGATCATTACAGGATCAACACCTGATCTATACACACTGTCTCAGTTTCAGAGGTCAAAGTCAGAGGTGGCTGATAAATAACCACCGTCTTCATCCTCATCTCCTCTTCAAGGAACAAGTGTTTAAGCCCCAAACACTTCACTCCAGAGCTTGGTTACTGATTCATAAACTATGTAGGATTCTTCCTTATCTGCCTCAGGCTTGATTGTACTGCTCCAATAAATAGTTCATCACTTCAGTTGCTGTTGTATTCCAGCCATCTATTTCCCTGCCTTTTACGACAGACCTGGTGACAGCACTGCAAAGCACTGCCTTTGCCCAAGGACACAGTGTGACAATAAGATTAGGGAGCCGTGCCCAGCAGCTAAGTGAGTTGAGTCTGTTGCATGACTATGGATGCGTGTGTGTGTGTGTGTGTGTGTGTGTGTGCGTACCCCGTTGTCGTGACAGCGTGCGATGCAAGTCTCCAGCTCAGTGAAAGAGGCATTTTGGCATCGGCGGTCTCTGCACACCTGTGGGAACACAAGCAGAATGATCACATACTGTGTTAAAGATAACGTGCACACACACACACACACACACACACACACACACACACACATTGACAGACATTGCTCGGACTTTTGCCAGTGCCCTTGGGCTTTGGAACAACCTGGCTGCCTGAGGAGACGGGCCAAGCAGCATCAGTATCCTGTTCTAAATCACTGCAATTACAGAGCGGCTTTTACAGCTTGTAACGATGTTTTATTGAGCTGCTTTTACCAAAACACATTTGGTCTGATTTCATACTCATTTTCATAACCGTTTACATTAATGTTGGAGAAATGTGTCACTTTCTCAGGAGCTTTGTGAGTCATGGCAGTTTGGGAGTGGGTGGGAGTGAAGTCAGTGGTGAAGAGGCTGAGTTACTGACACTGATCTGGGACCAGAGACTCTGATCAGGTAAAAAGAGGCTGAAGCTCCTTCTTTTGCATTTCAGCTGTGGGAAGAAGCTTCTGCTCATTAGCTCTCTGTCTGTGTTAGAATTGATTAGGATTTTACTGATCACTTCTAAAGCCCCTGAGCTACACAACCGAAATGTTAACCCCATATGAGCCAGCTCGCGTTCCCAGATCCTCCATTTTCTTTTACTGCATCTACTCTCTCCAGTTTTAATTTATATTGTTTATTTAGTTTTTCTCTGGCCTCACTGTCTGCCTTTCTGTTATATTTTTGTTATGTTGTCTCCTGAACTTCTGGCCTGTTATAGCTTTTGCTTTGTTGTCAAAGCACTTTGTAAATGTGTTTGTTTTTAAAAGGTGCTATATAAATAAAGTTATCATTATAATTATCCTGATTTTAGAACTGTGATGTCTGACAAAATCCTAAAACACAATTAAAGACAAAGACAGAGCTGTGATTAGAGCTGTATCTACTGTAAATTGATCACTCAGAAAGAGACAACATATTTATTTTTTGTCTCTCACACAGTTCACAACCTCCATTTATTAGAGGCAGGTCTTTATGTCTAACTCCCTCAGTTTGATATGTAGAATTATTCATAGTTTGAGTACAAAGCTTCGTTTTCAGTTGTTCCTGTCTATTGTGTGAAAGTTACTACATAACGTGTTAAAACACACTCAACACTTCCTGTAATCATTTCAAATTAAAAGCCCTCTAGCGTTATTACTGGTGTTTCTGTTGTTTACATGCTATTCAGATCTGCTAGCTTCTTTAGTTTAACAATGGCTTCTCACTCTCCCTCCCTCTGTCCTGCTCTCTCTGCTCTGTGTGTCCTATGTTTAGTTATTCATCCGCCTCTTTTAGTAATAATGATACATGGAATGAAAGTAGTTTATTTGCTGTAATGGAGGCAAGGCTCAGTGTATTGGAAGTGCTCCTCCTCTTTCCTGCAATTCCCGAGCAGCCAGGAAACCAGAGTGGCTTGTTAGATTACCCATAACAAGAAGTGTAGGCCTAAGCCCCTGGTTATCATCCATACACTGTCCAGATCTGAATCAGTCAGTCAGTAACATTCCGGATTATAGGGCTGGTCCTGCTCTTGCAGTCCAGCCAAAAACACCCAATTTAACCTCATAACAAGACTTTAAGCATTTTTATATAACACTCCATCACTGAGCTGTATTAGTGCTGATAATAGTATTTGCATTGGTGCTGTATATCCTGCCCTCCTCTTGTTGCTGCTTTCCTATTGTTAGCAGGGCAAATCAATTTAGCGTAGGTGAATGTGTGACTGTGTGATTAGAAGCAACAGCTTTGTGCCACATGTACATTGCTGAGAAAAGGCCAGTTCAATATAATGACTCAAAATTCATCAGGCTGGATGGCAGACAATATTCTCTGCTGCCTATTTATAATATGTTACTCATGCAGCACTATTCAGTCCTTTCAGCGTGGCCCACACAATAGCTGAGATGGAATTCAAGAGGCTGGAATGAGCTGCAGAGGGAAAGCAATAGAGATGGATGGAGAAATAGAATTTACTGGTAAAGCGAAGGGAGATGCAGATATTACGCCGATGCACATATTAACTCAGCTCTTATTTTGTAGGATTTGTGTGTGTGTGTGTGTGTGTGTGTGTGTGTGTGTGTGTGTGTGTGTGTGTGTGTGTGTGTGTGTGTGTGTGTCTGTAGGTGGGTTTACTTTAGTTAGCATCTGAATCACAGCCCAATGAGATAGATGAGAAACAGTGTGTTGTTCAGTTATTCAGCAGAATATTAGTAGAGCACTGACAGCTATTTTTTTTCCAAGTTAAAGACAGCATAACAAGCTGTAAACAAAACATGGACCTTAAAGTTTGACATGGTTATTTATACATCTAGCAGACAAAGAGCAACATTAGCATTCATTTAGATTCATGTTTGTACAGGTACAATCATACATTCCATGAGTGCTGTACAACAGCACTGGGACTTTTAAATACATGTATCACTCCACTCTACAGGTGCTCTATTAACTGTTAATTAGTGTTACATTAACTGTCGATATCTATCTTAGAATGTAACAAACTTTGCAAAGATTAATATATTTCCAGTACCAACAGTACCAGTCCAGTTTCAGAACTATATGTGTTGGTGTAGCCAAATAAATGATGAACAAATCCTAATCTGTTGTTGCTTATTATTGTTAACTAATATGGTATGAGGCTGCAGGCCCTTGTACGACCAAATCACAGCTGTGCAATTCAGTACAACATCACTCTCTCTTGTGATATTGCTTAATTATTCTTTTTACATTCATACTGCCTCTCTTCACTTACTCCCAGATCCTTTTACATATGTGTTTATATATATATATATATATATATATATGTATATGCTATAAATGAAAGTTATTGTTATTATATATTATATCATTGTATTTTATGTTTCAGGTAAGTGATGCTGCCATTAAACAGCTGTTTGTCACATGCCAATGTAAAATGTACAGTAAGCAAAGCAGTGAAATGACGGTTGGACTCTACAGCAGGACAGACTGTGAAAAACTGTAAAACTGCAGAAATTTTTTTTACTTGATATCATGAAAAATATAAGATATGGCAGGAAACATCTTCAATATTATAAAGTATTGGCCCAAGCCTATATATAGTGTTTATCACTCTGCTTTGAGTTAATCACAGCTTTTTTACTTAAAATAGCTGCAGTGACAGTGAACCAAAGCAGTTAAAGTTGTTAGATGCTAGCTACTAGCTAGCTAACTAATACCTAGCAGAGTTTGTAAATTGATCAGCTTCATATAAAGTAGTAGTAGCAGTAGTATAGTATAGACCAGGAGTTTCATTGCTACAATGTATGTCTTAATTTTTTTAAACATCTTTTTACGACATTTTCATCATCTTTATCTACAGTTTTTAAACGTCTTTTGAATACAACAATACATTGTCAAGCCTTTTTGTGCAATTTTACTTAAGTCAAATAAGTACTGAACACATCAAAGTAATTAGGTCAACAGTTGAAGTCTTCACATCGCACTAGTCACAGCGCTGCTTTACATATCACTGTCTCAACATGTGTAAATCCTCTCCATATAAAAAAACGATTTTGCTTCCTTATTGTGTGGCTGAGGGGCAAGGAAGGGCTGTGTGAATCAGTGTGCTGAAGAGAACTCTACAAAGAAGTAACGGCACAAAATACGTTAGACATATTTTATATGAGGCTTATATGATGAGTGAATAAATCTGCAGTTCATTATGGACCTGCACCTTTAGGTGATTTACCGGGTAGTACGAAAAAACACTTCACTGCAGTGCCTTGTGCGTCATGGATATCTTTTAACGTTGTACAAAACACAATATGTCACAAAGAAGCTCCGAGCTTCTGAGGCTGTATTCTCATGTTTCACCTGACTTATCCGAACATCTGAAGCTCATTCTCAGCTCACTCTGCCTGTGAATAACAAGTATAGTGTATGTGTCTGTGAATTTTCTCATTCGTCCAGGTCATTGTTATCTCTCTCTCAAATTAAATCGAAGGCAACTGGACTTGTATTTGTCTGTGGAAGACGTTTCGCCTCTTATCCAAGCGGCTTCATCAGTTCTTATGTATTGGTCTCTCTAGTCCGCACTAGTCTGTAGTCTCTAGTCCGCACTAGTCAGACTAGTGTGGACTAGAGAGACCAATACAGTGATCACTGTGACCACATGACCTGAACAAAGAAGACTACACAAGATGGCGATAAACAAAGAAACTACTCAAAATGGCCGCTGAGACCACCTGGGGTGTGTGTGAGAGGGAAGGTGTGAGTTTCTTTGTTAGCCTAGCTCATATAATCTAAAAGGTACCAGGTTAGAGGGAGGAGGTTAGCTTCATGCAGGTTCTAGAACAGAGACGTACTAATATGTGTGTGAACATACGTGTACCTGATTAACTGTATTACTGACCACAACCTAATCAAACATTACAACAACCAGACATCAATCAACAAGTACATTAACAAAGTTAAGACTTCTGCTGCTTAGCTGTGCTGTGCTGTGCTGGGAAAGGTTAGGCCCAGTCAGTTAACGTTACCCAGTCCTTGGAACAAACAAAGAGGTCCTTTCCAGTGTTGTTGTGAAGTCCAGTGAGTTGGGAGGCTTCCTGGTGGAGTAAAGTCCTGTCTGGCTCTGGCTCTCCTTTGTTCTCCTTGCAGAGTTAGCTGTTCCCCGCTGACTCTGCTATGACTCCTGTTCCTTGGAAAATCAGATGGCCTTGTGTCGTAGCTGCTGATTCTGAAGAGAATTTGGTTCACTCTCAGTTAATCCGAAGCAGGTCGCTGCTGTTGAGGAGAAGAGTGTTGCAGGCTGCTGTGAGCAGGCCGGGCGAGAGAGCTGGTTTCTCAGGTAGCAGGGCTGACCTGGGCTGGGGCCTTGTTGCCCTTTGAAGAGCCGAGAGCAGAAGCTGCTCTCCAGAGCAAGCCAAGAAAGGAAGAGAGAGAGAGGAGGGCCAGAGATCTGGTTTTGTTTGGTGACACCCTTGGGGGTCACATGTCACACGCTGACCCACACTGGCTGGCCAGTAAGGTCCGTGGGGGGAAG